CCAGGCCATGTTCCCAGGATAGAAGACGGAGCCCAGGGCCTCACACACACTGCACAAGTTCTCTCTACTCCTGACTACATCTGTAGCCTTCCGTATTTTAGATTTAGAGACAGGATCTCGCTGAGTTGCCCGTAAGTGTTTTGAAGCACACCTGACAGTGAAACCTCATTTCTGAGACGAGGTTTCACTGGCTCTGGCTGGCCTGGAACTCAGAGATCCCCCTGCCTCTGCCTCCCCAGTGCTGGGATTAGAGTAAAGTCCTGAACGACCATGGTCAGCTCACACTTCAGCTGCTTCTTAAAAGGCAGACGCCACCATCAACATTGGTTGGGGCACTCCCACGCACATGATATGCCTGACACTATCTTAAAAGCAGAGCTAGAAGCCGGGCGTTGGTGGCGCACGCCTTTAATCCCAGCACTTGGGAGGCAGAGGCAGGCGGATCTTTGTGAATTCGAGACCAGCCTGGTCTATAAGAGCTAGTTCCAGGACAGCCTCCAAAGCCACAGAGAAACCCTGTCTCGAAAAACCAAAAAAAAACAGCAGAGCTAGAGAAAAATGTACACGAAATCTCTGCAGGTGGCGTCTTAGGATGCTAACCAATGAGTGTTTCTCAGGTCTCTCCACTTTCCTTCCTTTACACCTGGAACATTCATGTCTCGTGAGCAACCTGAACAAAGACTAAAGATGGCAGGCAGGGTACCAGCAAAATCTGGTTCTGTCACTGAGTCAGCTGCAAACTTGGAGTAAAGATGAAAGCTAAGTTTTCTTTTTAAAATTTTTTATAATTTATTTTAATTTATTTTATGTGCATTCATGTGAAGGTGTTAGATCCCCTGTGAGCTGCCATGTGGGTGCTGGGAATGGAATCAGGATCCTCTGAAAGAGCAGCCAGTGTTCTTAACCGCTGAGCCATCTCTCCAATCCCTGAAAACTAAATTTTCTAATGATTTTTTTTATATTTCACACTAATGAGAAAGTTTTAATAAAAATATAATCGATCTTAGTAACCTGTCATTGTCTTCCAACAAGAAACAATAACAAAAAGCCACCCTAATGACCTTAATGTGCCAAACTCTTGTCATTTCAGCAGTGACCACAATGTCAACAAGCTGGGGCTGGGAAGATGGCTCAGCATGTCACCATGAAGATCATGGCCGTCAGTACCCACATTAAAACAAAACCCTGCTGGTGGTAGCATACCTTTTAATCCCAGAGGCAAAGGCAGAGGTAGAGACAGGCAAAGTCCCAGGTCATACTGGTCTACAGACTGAGATCCAGGACAGCCAGGACTACACACAGAAATTCTGTCTTAAACCCTCCCAAGCAAACAAACAAACAAACATACCAGTTAAGGAGGCAGAGACAGGAGGATCTCTGTGAGTTTGAGTCCAGTTTGTCTACACAGAGAACTCCATGTTAGCCAGGGCTACACAGTTTGAACCTGTCTCAAACAAAACAAAACAAAAACCAAAAATAAAATAAGTAAATAATTTTAAGATCACCATTTATGCTTTGTTTTGTCTTCTCCCCACCCTGGTGCCAGGGACAGTACTCAGCTTCATGTAGGCTTCGCAAGCTCTCTGCCACTGAGCTTTGTCTCCACCCTGTCTGGTTATAAATGTGTTCTAAGGGGCTGGAGAGACAGCTCATCAGTTAAGAGCACTGGCTGCTCTTAGAGGACCCGGATTCTATTCCCAGCACACACATGGTGGCTCACACTTGTCTGTAACTCCAGTTCCAGGGGATCTGACATCCTTACACTAATACACATAAAATAAAGTGAAATAAAGTATTTTTTAAAAAATTTAAAATCTAAAATTACTGACATAAATTCTCACACTAAACTGCCTAGGCAGGCCTTGAACTTGCAGTCCTCCAGTCTCAGCCTCCCACTAGCTGGGATCACGGACCTGAACAGCACTTAGGAGGCAGAGGCAGGCGGATCTCTGTGAGTTCGAGGCCAGCCTGGTCTACAGAGTGAGTTCCAGAACAGGCTCCAAAACAATACAGAGAAACCCCCCCCCAAAAATACATGGCCTAACATACAGCTACAGGAATCTAACAGCTATAAACTATGACTTTTGCATCAGCTTTTGTAACTTCCTGGCATTTTACATTTTTTTCAGAGCTCACCTAGGCTGTGAAAGCTTTTCTGCCACAAGGGGTTTTTAGGAGGAGAAAATTGTTCAACTCTTTAACAAAGCAGGATGTGGCTTGAGAGTGGGGTTGTCATGTAAAATGAGTGTTCGTAGCAAGAAGTTTTTTAGGGCTTTGAGGGACTTTTTACTAAAGTCCCAAGACTGTATAAGATCTGTTAAGATCAGTGAAGGTCTGTGAGAGCTGCCGCCACCTGCCACCAATCACTCATGGCCACCCAAACTGTGCCACTCCATCTAGAAGTATCACTCTGCCCACTGAGGCTTTAGCACCCCATCATTACCTCGTTACACAGAAGCAAGGTCCCAAAGCCACCATGTAAGGAAAGCCCTTAATCAGAGCCTCAGCCTGGCCGCCAGGCACACTGCACATGGCCAAGCCTCTGACCACTAGACACACAGACAGCTTTTTTTTATCCCCAGTTCCCTTCGTTCCTCTGGGTTGGCTTTCTTTCTGTCTGTCTTTTCCTTTCTTTTTCATTTTTCCTTGAAAACTGCTAAAAAATAATAATTTAAAAATTAGGTGGCTGAAGAGCTGGCTCAGCCATTAAGAGCACTGGCTGCTCTTCCAGAGGTTCTGAGCTCAATTCCCAAAAACCATACAGTAGCTCACAACCATCTATAGTGGGATCTGATGACCTCTTCTGGCATAAAGGCATACATGCAGAAAGCTCACTCATATACATAAATAAATAAACAAACCTGCTTTTAAAAAAGCTAAGATAACTGATAGTGGACATTTTGGTCTATAAAACGCAAATTTTTCACCAACTTTTCTTGATAGTGTCATAACATGCTCACCCATTCCCTCCATTAAATCATAAGCCACCCAAAAGAAAAGGCCTGTACCCAGCATGCCTTAAAAACAAAACAGAAAACAAAACCACCTTTTTTCATTGCCATACACTTCATGTATAATATGGTTGGCCAATTAGTTATTGGCCATAAGTGAACGCGTGAGTTTACCAAATGTTTCCCATCTCTTACCAATAACAAGCTTTCTTTTTTTCTCTCCACTAGGTCCAACCCCAGAGCGTGACACACACAGGCGAGTATTTCACTAGAATCACATCCTCAGCATCCTTTTGTTTTGCTTTTCCAGACAGGGTCTTGCCATGTAGTCCCAGCTGGTCTGGGACTCACTGTGTATTCCAGGTTGGATGCAAACTCACAACAACCCTCATGCCTCAGCCTCTCCAATGTTGGGATCTCAAGGGTGAGCTGCCACAGCTGCTCCAGTTCTTGATTTCCTGTCTTCCACTCCCAAAGGACAGGCAGGAAGGCGGCGGCCAAGCTGTCAGTTCTCCCTCCTCCTACCTGCCCTCTGGATCGCCCTGCCTGAGCAGTCACCAGCATGTCTATGAAGCGTCTACCTCCCTAAGTCACTCAGGAACCACGGATGTTCTTGGTTCCTAACCCCATCCTGTTGTCTGAATAAGTGAGGGGAAGCCCATGCCCAGTCTTCCATTCTGCTACTGACTATAACTTCTGATGTGCCCCCACCCCAGATAACAAAAACAAAAAAGCAAAACCCCCCAAAACAAAAACAACAACAAAACACAAAACTGAAGGAAGTGAAAATAAGAAAAGAAAACATAGCATTCAAAGACCTACAGTTTTGCCTAACCCAGGTTTGTACAAGTGCTTCAAACTACGAGTTAATTTAATTTTTCCAAAATGGGTATTTGCATGCATCACGTGACATTTTGACAGCAGAATGAATGGGAATTCCTTTGACAGAGGATGTTTATAAAATGAGTTCTGATTTAAGGGCCAGCGCTCCCAGGATTCTCGTATTAACAGAATATTTTAGTCTAAGAAATGGCTATGTAAAAACACTTAAAGCCAAAGAAAGCCATTAAGGAAGATGCACGGCATCCCTAATTGCCCTAACCTTGTTTTATTTTGACATGACATTTCTTGTGATCACCACCACCCCACACTTTCTCCTCCACACCCTTCACAAATGCATTTCAGAAAGGTAGTCAGCGGGCACTTTGGAATCCATCACTGGTCTCGGGCACATTTCCGCGCAATAACTGCGGCTTCGTCCTCACCTTCACCCAGGCCACTGCACCTCCAGCCTATGCCCAGCCTTTCCCCGGTGCTCGAGTCCAGAGGAAGGCAGGGCAACAGGCCCTGTCCCTCGGCCAACAGCCTCTTTCCTGGAGATGGCCTGAGGGTTGCCCTGGCGTCCTCTGACCGCCCTCGGTGGGACCGTTTCCAGACACCAAGCTGCTCGCTAACCCACCCACCTGCACCCCAAAACCAAGGATCCTGAGAGGCCAAGCCCTCTTGAAACCGTTTCCTCTGGGCAGCAGGGCAGAAACAGGTTCCCGGCAACCAGCTCTTCGTGGTATCCTATGATCTCCCCTACCGCCGTCCCCCTGCGGACCAAACGCCGCAGCCCCCCTTAAATTCAGGATCTGAGCTGTCCCCAAAGAATTACAAGTGCGCCTCAACCGCCCTGGGGATAAGTCCTCACTTCCAGAGAGAAGACCTCACCTCTCGCTCGCGGCACCCCCAAACCCAAATACTCGAAACCCCGCGCCTGCCAGGCCGCCCCGCCCCCGGGAGCAGCGCGGGATCCGCCCGCACCCCGAAACATAGATCTGCCCCAGAGCTCCGGCCAGGGGCGCGCGCAATTACGCAGCCCAGCACGGCGCGGGCCCCACGCCCCCGGGGATCGCCCGCGGGTCGCCGCTCAGGGCTCCGGGACCCAGCCCTGCGCCGTCCCCAGGCCGCCGGGGCCACCCGATCCGCTCGCTGGGCGACGACGCACGCCGAGGCCCCTCGCCGCGCCTCCCGCCCAGGCCGCCCGCGGCCCGGCCCCTCACTCACCCAGAGCTCGGTGCCCCAGCTCATGGTGCAGGGACCGGGAAGGGGCCCCCGACCCCCTTCGCCGGCGATCGCTGAGCCCCTCCGGACGCTGCGAATGCGGAAAGCACGCCGCCCACCGTTTCCTCTGGCCCGCGCCTCCTCTAGCCTTGGCTCTCCACCTCTCGTCTCTTCGCGCGGAGCAAAATGGCCCGAGGAAGCAGCAGCAGCGACCGCCGCAGCGCGCCCGCCCCGCACCGGAGCCGAGGGGCGGGGTGGGGCGGGACGAAAGGCGGGGCGGGGCGGGGTCGGACTGACAGCTCGCCTGTACCGTCCCGCCCCCAGGCTCCCTTAGGACCTGTTGCTCCGGGGTCCAGAAGGACGGGAGTCCCTGGGAACCTCTCCTAGTCGTCCGCATTCGGCAGCCAGCGCGTCCTACCGCTCTCGGGACCCGCGCTCACTGCCTGCAGACTGTCCCGTTCGTGATCACGACGCTCCATCGCGGTCTGCCCTCCACCCACCCTCCCAGCACAGCTTTGCATTTCAGAACTTTGGCCACAGACACCCACCTTAGAAGTTTCCGGAGAGGCTTCTCCCACCATCCAGCCACCATGGAGGCCCAAGGAGCGCGTGGGAGTAGGGCCTGGGACCGTGACGTCGGTGCACTGTGTACACAGGGACGTTGAGGCCAGTAGAGACCGAGCAGATCCGGAAAACCAGGGAAGGAACTCGGGGATGAGAGCCCAAAGAATTATAATCTGTGGAACAAGCTCTTTCCTTCTTGTTCGGCCAGGAATATCAACAGTGAAGTCGGAAAGGACAGCAGAATCTCTAGGGCCCACCGAGAATTTGGAGGGTTCAAATCCAGCCTCCGAGCTCATTGGCTGGGTGGTCTTGGATAGATTTCCAGCTGCCAAAGGGAGGCAGTGTCTGTCAGTCCAGGACTAGTGGTGTGACCTGACCAGCGGGTGGCGGCTGGTGCAGAATGGGGACCATCTCATTAACTCTTCCAAAGCTCCACAGAGTGTCATTTCTCAAAGGCTGTGGGAATCTGAGGACTTCCAACTGTTTTCTCAGAATCCCTCAGACTATCCCCGACTATCCCCACGGCTTTTCTTTCTCTGAACGCTGCTGCTGAGACATTTCCTCCAGAACCATGACCTCCGAACAGGTCCCTCTTCTAAACGGTTTCTCCACTCCCTGCTCTCTTTGACCTCTGTTCATCTTCCTCCAAGGAGTTAATTCTCCTCGAAGGGTGAATCTCAGCCCAGTGTGTGGTGGCCTACAAATGTAGTCTCAGCACTCCTGAGGCAGAGGCAGGCAGAGGCCAACCTGAGCCATATAGTAGTACCAAGCAGGTTGACCTGGACATTAAAGTGAAAACTTGACTAAAAGAAAAGAAAAGAAAAACTGGGTGGGGCATTGGTGGCGCACGCCTTTAATCTCAGCACTGGGGAGGCAGAGGCAGGCAGATCTCTGTGAGTTCGAGACCAACCTGGTCTACAGAGCGAGTTCTAGGACAGGCTCCAAAGCTACAGAGAAACCCTGTCTCAAACCCCCCCCCCAATAGTAGTGTGGTGTGAGTCATATGGATCTCTTTCAGGCCAAAGGCTATATAGTGAGAACCTGTCAAAAAAAAAAAAAGAAAAAAACACACATTCACAAAATAATTTGTTTAAAAAGTAAAAAGAAAGAAAAGGGAAGGAGAGGTGGAGCTGAGAACCTTGCCTCTAACCTCAGCACCTCCTACTTCCTTTGCTGGGTAGTTACATTTTGAAACTATTAACACTGTTTGGGCTCTATTGTCAGTTACAAGCCCCTCCCCCCATCCTTTGTGTCTGTTGAAATATTTTGCTCTGAGGTTTACCAGGTCTGAGCACTCTTTACTCCCTAGACTTCTGGAAAAGTAAGAGTCAAGATGACCAGCAGCCACCTCCCTGCTAAGGACGATTAATGGCTAGGGTGAGTTAGTGGGCTGGAAAAGTAAACTATGTTAATTAACATGGGGGGGGGGGGGTGGAGAGATGGCCCATCGGTTAAGAGAACTGTTCTTCCAGAGGTCCTGAGTTCAATTCCCGGCAACCACATGGTGGCTCACAACCACCTCAAATGAGACAGAAGACTGTATACACAATAAATAAATAAAATAAAGAATCCCACAGGGCTGCTTTATTGTTGCGTTTTGTTTTTTACTGGGTATTGTTTTGTCTGCACGTATACCAGTGTACCTCATTCATGTCTGGTGCCCTGAGAAGCCATAGAGGGTGTTGGATCCCCTGGAACTGAGCTGCACGTAGGTTGTAAGCCACCACGTGGGTGTTGAGAATCAAAGCAATGCTCTTAGCCCCACTGAGCCATCTCCCCAGCCCCAACAATCCACAGGGTTTTATTTGCTCAAAGTTGGAAATGGACAGTTACTTAGCAAGACCTTGCCTGCGCCTCATCACCAACACCTTCGCCTCTCTGCTTATTTGCTGTTTCCTTTTCAATCCACAAAAATGATCTAATCTTGATTTCAGAAAACCAGAATGATCACTTGCAAAAAATAGGCTAGCCAGGAGGTAAAGCAACCTGTGCCCTAAAGAGAAAGAGGCAGAAGGAACTGTGGAAGAGAGAGACGCCTGAAGAGGAAAAATGTTTCATGTGAGTAAGCAGAAATTGTTATGGAACCTTTAAAAGCTGCAGGAGGTGCAGGAGCCAAGTTAACTAAGCACACTTAAAGTATCTTTCACTTTGCTTAGTCTGGATGGCAACTGGAAAATGCTTTGAGTTAAAAGCTTCAGAAAATGAAAGAGAAATGCAGCATTGATCTCTTAGCAGGGGTGTTCTCACCCCATGCAAATGCTAGGCTTACCACAGCTGCACACCTGCTCCTCCTTGATTCTCAGAGTCTTTGCCTTTGAATGATCTAATAGCATAGAGGGGTTAACCCTAAAGGAAGACATCCAAACAAGCACAGTGCAGACCCTATGCTTCTGGCTAGCTGGTTTGCTTTCTTTTTTTTTTTCTCTTTTTTTCTTTTTCTTTTTTTTTTCTTTTCAAGACAGGGTTTCTCTGTGGCTTTGGAGGCTGTCCTGGAACTCACTCTGTAGACCAGGCTGGTCTTGAACTCACAGAGATCCGCCTGCCTCTGCCTCCCCAGTGCTGGGGTTAAAGGCGTGCGCCACCAATGCCCAGCAGTTTGCTTTCTTTGTAAAGTTTATTATATGTGTACATTTACTTAGCATGTGTGCACATGAGTGTGTGTGGGGGCATGAACATACAGCACACATGCAGAGGTCAGAGAACAATTGTGGGAGTTTTCTCCTTCCACCACGTGGTTCCTAGGGATTGATTTCAGGCCATCAGGCTTGATAGCAAGTGCCTTTCCTGGCTCAGCCATCTTTTGAGCCCTTATTTTCTGAGACAAGATTTTATGGCCCAGAACTTTGGTGGGTGATCCTCCTGCTTAGTCAGCACTTCCGAGTAGTCAGAGGCAAATCTATCAGGGCTTTGGACAGTTCTCACCCTGTGTGGAATTTATGAACATCTCACTCAGGGTTTGTAGGTAGGTCCCTGTTCAGTGCTAGATGGATGAGGGGGTTCTGAAGCAGATGGGGTTTTATCATTTTTGGGGATCCCAGTGTCTAGTCCTTATGAGAGGTATGCGGTTTCTAACAACTTACACTGTCTGAGCTTCAGCTTCCTCATTCACAAAAAGGGGGCTTCGCAGACACCCTGGAGGCTGAAATGCTGGGCAGGTGAGCACATGCTTTAGTGGGGTTCACTGCAGAGCTCAGGGCGGGCAGCTGCAGAGCTTCCCTTCTCCAAACCTCAGTTTCCTCTCTTAGGATGGAACAATGACCTCACGGCTTCTTCAGATACCAACAGAGTATCTGCAAAGTGCTTAGCAGAGAGGGCACAAACACAAGTTTCCCTTCCTCCTGTGTGCCACAGCAAGGAAGCAATGCTTTACAAATTGCTGCTATGGCTACATCCCCGGGCCTCAACGCAGGGCAAGATGACTGGCTGTCTATCAGTAGAGTTTCCTAATGACATTCCCCCACAATGGTTTCTATCTGAGTTTAGCTTAAAATTTCCCATAGCTTAACTTACAAGGGAGTTAAGTCTCAATATACTTTTTAAAAAAATTTTATGCATCTCTGGCTGATATGGAACTCACTCTGCAGACCAGGCTAGTCTTGAACTCAGAGATCCCCCTGCCTCTGCCTCTTGAGTGCTGAGAAGGGTATGCCATCAAGCCTGGCTTACTGTTTTGTTTTTTTTGTTTTTTTTTTTTTTGACAGGGTCTCAGGTAGTCCAGGCAGACCTCAAACTCACTATGTAGTCAAGGCTGACTTTGAAATGACTTGTCAAAAAGAATGCTTTTAGTCTTCCAGGAACCCCATACTGTTGGTTGAGCCATGGTAAATTGAGAACTGGCTGTACTCAGGACCCCAGGAAGCAGCCAAGTGGAAAAACTAGGAACAGGATAAAACTAAGACCCTCCTAGTGAGTGCAATCTTGAAACTGCAACTAGATATTAATGCACAATGGCTGAGTGCTCTGAAGGTCATGAAACAAGGGCTGCCTGGAGCTGGGCAGGTTGTATACAGTGTCCCCAGGTTGAAAGTGAAACTCAGGTTCATTTCCATCACACCTTTAGCCCTCGGACGGTGTGCTGGGACCACTGGACTGACATCTTCCCAATGGCCAAAAAGATGCTTTCAAGGGTTTCTTTGGTGTCCTAGGAGATACCTGAGATCTCCACTGCAATCTGGAAGACATAGCCAATGGATGTTACCAGACCCCAATAAGCCTCTGGTTCCTTACCATGTTAACTTTGGGGCCTGAAAGAACTCTTCTGAAAGACAGGAAAACCTGTGGGACAGCTCAGCAGGTAAAGGAGCTGCTGCCAAGCCTGCCCACTTGAGTTCTATCCCACATGGTGACTCACATGGTAGAAAGAGAACAAACTTTTGAAGATCCTCCTTTGACCTCCATACAGTCTCCATGGCATGTGGCCCTTCTCCAATATATACATTAAATAAATGTATTGAAACTTTGGTAAAAGCAGTTATGTCTTATTTTCTCCAACGGTCCAAGCCCAGGCTAAATATTAATAGCACTGTATTCAAACTACATGTTTGAATTTGTTTGAATTTAAATACCAGTTTCCTACCAGTGGCAACCTTGAGCTGATCCTGCAAACTGTAAAGGCTCTAGATTAAGAAAGAGAGCAAGGCTCAAAGCCAGGGTTCAGGAGCTCTGCTCTTCTTGACCTCAGGCTTTCCCAGTCAGTGCCTTGGTTTAATGCCCCCTGGAAGGCGCTGCCAGGGAGAAGCAGGCAAAACTTGTTTTGTTACTCAACAAGATATGCAAGTTGCAGCATCCTCATTACACAAATGACTTTTGCTGGAAACTAGGAAGTCACATGTTGTACCTTTCTGGGCCCCAGTGTTGGAAGAGCATTTTACACTGACTCCTTGTAACAGGTTTTCAAAGACTTTGTAAGGGGTCTTCCATGCTCCTGCCTCGGGATCTCAAAATAACCACAGGGTTCCCAAACACACAAAGATAGACACAAACCACTGAGCAGATCTGAAGGTGTGGCCTTGCGGAGGTTTTGTCATAATTCCCAGGCTTAAAAATGAAGGAATCCTAAAGATTTAATTTTAAGGCCTGGAAATATTTTTACCACAACCAGACAAAATTCTCTGGAATAGATATTTTACTACCATGAAGAGGAAATGAGGATACCCAGACACTCCCTTTTAGTATTAGTCAAATTTAAAGACATGTCTTCTAAAGAATGGTATTGGACTTTATTGGTCTTTATTGGTTTACTCATGTGTGAACATGTGTATGTGGGGTGCCCATGGAGGCCAGAGGAAGACACTGCATCCTCTGGAGCTGGAGTCACAAGTTGTTGTGAGCTCCTACATGTGGGTGCTAGAAATTGAACTTGGGTCCTCTGGATGAGAGCAAACGCCCTTACCACTGAGTCATTTTTCCAGCCCCACCTTATTAGTATTATTTTGAGACAGGGTCTCACTATGCAGCTCTGGCTGTCCAGGAACTCACTCTGTAGACCAGCCTAACCCACAGAGCTCCATCTGCCTTTGCTTCTGCCTCCCGAACACTAAGATTAAAGGTATGTGCCATCATGCCTGGCTTTATTATTATTATATTTATGTGTATGTTTATCTGCATATATGTATGCGTGTCAGGTGCCCATGGAGGCCAGGAGAGATCACTGGATACCCGGGAGCTCACATTACAGGCGGTCGTTAGTCACCATGTGAGTTCTAGGAAACAAGCTCTTAAGTGCTGAGCCATCTCTCTAGTCCAGATTATTATTATCAATTAGGCACCAATCTTTAAAAAGTAACAATAGGATGGGAAAATAGCTCAGTAGATGAGGGCTTGTATGGAGCCTTGGTTCAGACCTCAGCATTGTAACATCAAAAAGGAATAACTCACTTAAAAATTCGTCTTCTGTTTACTCAACTTTTTTTTTTAAGTAAAAAAATCACTTAAGAGCCGGGCGGTGGTGGCGCACGTCTTTAATCCCAGCACTTGGGAGGCAGAGGCAGGTGGATCTCTGTGAGTTAGAGGCCGGGCTGGGCCGATAGCCTCCAAAACAATACAGAGAAACCCTGTCTTGTAAAACAAAAAAAAAAATCACTTAAGTAGGAGCTGGAGAAATGGTTTAATAATTAAAAGCACAGACTGCCCATCCGGACAACCCAGTTCAACTCTCAGCCCCCACATGGTGGTCAACAATCATCTGTATCTCCAGCTTCAGAGGATCTGATGCTCTCCTTTGGCCTCCGCAGGCTCCCGTATGCATATGACATGTGTACACATACACTCACGCACACACACATATGCATAAATAAATATTTAATTTTCCCTTAGCTGTCTTTAGCCTTTCTTCTTGCTTCCCAAACCACAGTATCAGAGTTTGCACATTCTTTTTTTTTTTTTTTTTTTTTTTTGGTTTTTTTCGAGACAGGGTTTCTCTGTGGCTTAGGAGGCTGTCCTGGAACTCCCTTTGTAGACCAGGCTGGCCTCGAACTCACAGAGATCCGCCTGCCTCTGCCTCCCGAGTGCTGGGATTAAAGGCGTGCGCCACCAACGCCCGGCTCAGAGTTTGCACATTCTTACTCTTTTTCATGACTTATGAATGTTCTGGCATGGGGGACTGAACCCAAGGCCTCATTCTTGCACATGTTAGGCTACTAAGCTACATCCCTAGACTTCCCGTCCTGGGTTCACAGCTGTGTTACCATGCCAGCTTGCTTCCCTTTTCAAATTACAAAACTCAGAAAGCTGAGGCTGGAGAGGCAATTCAGCAGTTAATCGTGTGTACTGCTCTTGTGGGGGGATCTCAGTTTGGTTCCCAGCACCCACATCATGGGGCTCACTACCTCCTACATACACAAAATAAAAATAGAATAGTAACTCTTTTAAAAAAAAATCACAAAGCTGTTAATAATATCGGGCAAGAAGCCCAGATCCATTTCTGTAGCAGTTGAAGTTTCAGTCCTGGTTTTACAGATGCCTGCTAAAACTACCCCCAAAAAGCTGTGTGATCTTTGGAAAGTCACAGTGTCCCCTGGCACTGATTTCACACCTGGTAAAGAAAGAGGACAAATCTGAGTTACCTACAGAGCCTTCCAGTCTAACACAGCATGCGATGGCCTTTGTCTACAGCAGGGCAGGACAGAGGCTTTACCTTGGGCTTTGGGAGTAGGGTGAGTGAGTGTCCTGGTGGGTCATTTATACGGCGATAGACTGTCTCTGAGTTAGTTAATCCAACCAAACCTCGTCTGAAAAAAGGAAATATAAACCAACTTTCCTGATTTTAGATGACATAACATACATATAGATCACATAACTGATTAAGGTCACTCAGGAAGCACTTTCTCATCTCTCTGCATAGAGCTGCAAAAGATTAATTCTAGAGTTTCCTGTTCTAGGTTTCATTATCTGTAAAGGGGGTGGGATCAGATGAAAATCCAGTTCAAACATGGAAGACTGCATATTTAAAAGAGATGGCCCAAGACTCAAGGGAAGGGAAGGGAAGGACAGCCACCAACCAGTAGGCATTGCCTTTCCCTCCCATGAAACTCAGAGGTATTTTAAGATAAATGACAACCTTTGTGTCTCCACCTACACGTTCTACTTTCGCCTTTGAAGAGGGTGTGACTGAGCTTGCACTGGTTTTTAGTCAAGGGAAGGATTAGATTTGCACACACACACACACACACACACACGGAGGGAAACTGAGGGCCTTCTGGAGCCCCATCTCGATTTCAGTTCCGTACTTTAACAAGTGAACCTTCCTTCCTTCCTTCTCCTTCCTTCCTTTTTCCTTATTTATTCATTCATTTGTTCATTCATTCTGAAGATAGGGTTTCTCTGTGTACCCCTGACTGGCCTTGAACTCAGAGATTCACCTGCCTCTGCTTCCAGATCTAATTATGAGTCACCACTGCCAGCTCCATGTGAAAGTTTTAAAGCGGACTGTTTTGTGCCATTCAAGTATACCATGTTGGGCTGGAGAGATGGCTCACAGTTGTTGGACATCCAGAGGATTTAAGTTTGGGTTACCAGCAAGCACTGTGGGTGGATCACAACCACTTGTCACTCCAGCTTCAGGGGAGCTGGTGTCCTCTTCTATTCTCTTTGGGTACACCCACACAATGGCACATATACACACACAGATACATAAATAAAAATAAACTAAATTATATACCTACATGTATTTATATAGAGAGATAGATATCATGTTGGGATGGAGACATTGCTCCATGGTTAAGAGCTCTTACTGCTCTTCCAGAGGACCTGAGTTCAGTTTCCATAACCCATAATGCCAAGCAACTCACAACTGCAGGCTAACTCCAGCTCCAGGGGATCTGACACTATCTTCTGGTTCCCTCAGATACCTGCACATCACACACACACACACACACACACACACACACACACACACACACGCACACACACACACACACACAGAGAGAGAGAGAGAGAATTAACAAACATGCTTACATAATCTGTTCCTAATTCCTAATTAAGTTTTAGGAATTTGATTCTGTCTTAGATGTCAACACACCTATACATGGGTGGTTGCCTGGTAGTAGGATTCCTTGGTAGTAGGATTCCAAGTGAGTGTTTTTGTTTTTTTTTTTTTGAGACAGGGTTTCTCTGTTTAGTTAAAAACTAAACGAGCTTGATTATCAGCAATTTTAATTTAATTCCTGTGACTCCTTGATAAACAATGGTAGCGGGGACCACTACCAAGTCCTCACGTGCTAATGACCAGAAGCAAAGTTTCCACAGACAGAAAAACAGAAGACATTACAGCTCAGACTGTAGGGGTGACATGAAACCACACGAGGCAAAATGATGTATCAGTGAAAAATTTCCACGTGATCCCCAGCTCAGCCTGGAACCAAAAGGCCATTTCTTAGAGTAGGGGATAAATATGACACCTACCTCTTATCTGATTAGATTGTCCCAAAGATTAAATGCCACTGCTTTTTAAAGTGGGTTGCTTCATACGGACTCAATACATCCCATTAGTGCAACTATTTCGGGGGCGGTTTGTGGGAGAGAGCCTAGGACAGCAACAAACCAAGGGATCTAAGACAAGCTAGCAATTTCTAAGACATTACCACCGACGGCAGGCCAATCAACAGCCAGAGAGTGTGTGGCAGCCACTGCGGGTTCCGGCCTTTGGTCCGGGTCCCTCACTCCCCAAGCCCGGCGAGGCCGACAAGGAGGCTCGGGTTGGTCTTGCCTCGCCATGGCTGTCACGGCACACGCTCAGGGTTCTCAGAGGGGCTTCGCTGGAAGTCCGCACTGAAGAAGCTATAAGCTCAGGTCCCTCCGTGACCAAAGAGATGCACTTCGCACTAAAATGATCCTAGAGGTAGCGGCCGCGCCCCCCTTCCAGAACACTTCCGGGACGCCGCACTTTGACCCGGAAGTGGGCGGGAGAGGAAGTAGCTGGTGATGCTGGAACAAACATGGCCGTCCCGGTGTCCCTCGGCCGCTCGGGCTCTTGCTGTCTACGGCTGCTGCCACTGCTGGCGCTGCTGGAGCTGCTGGTCGACCCCTGCCTGGGCCGCGTCCACCACCTGGCGCTCAAAGTAAGGCCCGGTGGGCTGGGGACAGGGACAGGGAGTGGAGGCCGGGGCGCGACAGCTGCTCGGGGCTGAGCCAACTTCGGCCCTGCGGGGTCTCTAAGTTTGGCTTCCGTGCTAGGGGTCTGCGCGGCGCAGTGGGGACGGACTATGCGGTACCGGTGCCTCCGGTAGTCTGGTCCCTGCAGGTTTGGGGTCTTGGGGAAGGGGCTCAGCCGCGGCCTAATGCCCAAAGGACCTGGGAGGCTTCCCCTGCGATCCCTACCGGTTTCCCTGGGACCCACGCCGGTGGTGACCACCATTCCCTACAACCCTTCCACAGCTTTAATCCCAGTTCCCCTCGTCCACGATCTCCGCCCTTCCGTGCTTCTGCACCCGGCGCTTTGAAGGTGCGCGGAACCTTAGCCTTTTCCCCAGCTTACTTTAGGGCGCTCGACTGACTGACCGAAGCGAGGATCCCCCAAAAGGAGTTCACATTTCTCTTGAAATATATGGCTTAATTTCCAAAAGGAAAAAAAAAAGGACAACTCTTGAGAATTCAAACTCAGCATGCAAAGGGAAGTAGTGGGTCTTTTTCTTTCTGTCTCTATGGTCATTGCCTAAGGGAGATGTTTGTGACAGACCTGGAATGAACACCAGGAACCGCTATGGTAGCCCGCAGTTTAAAGTTCTCTAAAGGCTTACACGGGGTTGTCAGCAGGTTGATACATCTGGGGAACAGAGGATGACATCATTATGACTCAAAGCCTTGTACATTTTACTAATAGTGTTCCAATAAGTTGGTGCACCTGGACACAGCTGTCTTGTAAAGCACCTTGTATTAACCGTGAAGCATCAAGTCTTGTGAATGTAGAGTTTAAAGAATACAGACAGGCTCGAGATTTGAAACTTGGCCAGATCATTTCAGGCATACTTGCACTGCCGGCTTTTGTTTGTAAATAAAAATGATCTCGAGTAAAGTGACTCTTAACCACAGCAAGACAGGTCGGTCTTGGCTCCTTTTGAAGATTTACTCAGAGCTGTAGGAGCTCTCCCCAGAGAAATGCTTGTTGAAGGCCACACAACTTTCTTGGCCTTCCTGTGACTTCATAATCCTGGTGCAGTTCATCAGGAGTTCCCAACTTGCAGGCCAATCCCTCCGGGGCTGAGAACCCCTGATTTTGAAGTTTACAGATTGTTTTTATTAGGTGCATAATGTAGCTGAGATCATAACGCTTAGTAAAGAAAATTGGCAACAGGACACACTAGGACCATGTCTCCTAGTTCCCCAGATGCCAGGAGCCTAGTGTCATCAGGTAAACACTGGCAGTATTTATATCAGCCAACCTTAGTGCTCATTATATACCAACCTTAAATACCAACCGTAGAAGTAGAAGCAAACCTAGAGCAGTTCTGCTGTTGATTTCTCTCTTGTGCTAACTTAGTGTAGTTCTGGGATTCTTTCCTGTGCCAAATGACTTGTTTTCTCTCTTGTAATATGTTCCCTAAGCTTAGTCTATAATTGGTACTAGAATATTTTCTCTCTCTCTCTCTCTCTCTCTCTCTCTCTCTCTCTCTCTCTCTCTCTCTCTCTCTCTCTCTCTCTCTCTCTCTCTCTCTCTCGTCAGTTAGTTTTGAGTCCAAATTCTTTCCCTACAACTGGATCTGTGAGGTGAGGGGAACTTAGAGCTGCAAACAAACTAAAAGCAGGAAAAAGTGATTGTCAGCTCCCTCTTCTCTGCTGAAAAAAATTATGTTTTTAAAAAAGGTATAAGAGGCTTTTTAAAAAAGGGCAAAGAAGATCTTTCCAACATAGATGGCTGGTGAAGGGATGAGAGGTGCAAAGACAGTCCTTGTCCGTGGGGGCTGTTCACCTGGGGGGGGCAGGGCCTGGCTCAAGCCTTGCCTAGCTGAATAAATAATGTCCTGTGGTGGTAGTGTACCTGGGTACTATGAGGAGGTGGAGGCAGAGTAGAGCCTGTGGGTGTGGACAGAGGACTTTGCTGGAAAAGGGGCTGCGGAGGCCTCTCTGAGATATGGGCTCAGAGCAGATGCTGCCGGGTTGTGCCAGGCTCCAGTTCCTGGAGGGGACATCAGGTCTCTCTTCTAGCTTCTAATACCAAGGGCAGACTCAAGACGGGTGTTAGAATCACTGCTCTCCGGCTTGCTGCTGATCTTGTCTGGGTACTTCCCAGTGCCTGTCGGTCTGACCCCTCAAGTGCCAGCTTTCCTGTGTCTAGCTAGCTTCTGCATGCTCACAGTCTGAGTCACCCTGGATCCCAGGGACTGCATTCTGACGGCCTGTCTGGTCACAGGAGATGAAGTTCAAGTAGGAGGACTCGACCTCCATCATGTTTGTGGCATCGCTCCTCAGGCCTAATTTAATCTCTTTTCTTCCTGCTTGTATCTCTTCAGATTTTTCACTCTTGATTAATTGTGGAAAGTCTGTCAATTTGTTGCCTCTCAGAGCCCTCCACATATCTTTTGCTGACTTTAAATCTCCTTTTTATCCCAAGAAACTACACTTTTACTTTGTGTTTTCGTAGAGTTGCCCTTGCCGGATACTTCATGAAAAATGGAGTCGCACAGCAGATCAGCTTTTGTCCCTGGCTTCTTACACTTCTTAGATTCATCCATGTTGTGCCATGGCTCAATTCATCTCTTGTATAGTCATGTGCTCTGTGTACATGTGTTTGTGTATACATTGAGATGTTTGTGTAGAAGTCAGAGGACAGACTTGGATGTTTTATCTCCTATCTTGTATGAGGCAGGAAATTTATTTGCCATTGTATCTGTAAGTTTACTTTGCAAGTTTCTGGGAATACTCCTGTCTCTTCCTCTCATAGACATACATACCACATCTGCCTTTAGGTGGGTCCATGGGATCTGAATTAAGGTCCTTGTGCTTGTCTGACAAACATTTTATCCACTGAGCCATCTCCCTAACCCAATCAGTAATTGATGTTATTTATCATTGAACACTACTCCACCTTTTGTCTAGTACAGCTGGCCTTTGTTTTCCTGCCTTAGTCTTGCCAGTGCTAGGATTACAGGCATGTGCCCCATGCCCATCTCTGTAGGATGAATAGACCTGCCACTGTCATTCACATGCACATTTATGAAACTGTCTGTCTTTGTTTTTCTTGGGTGACATCCAGGACTGGAGTGGAATTGCCAGGCTATATGGTAGGGTTGGGCTTAAGTTTTAAGAAAGTGCCACATCAGCTGAGCATGGTGGCACACACCTTTAATCCAAACACTAAAGAGGAAAAGGCAGGCAGATAGTTTAAGGCCGGCCTGATCTACACTACAAAGCAAGTTCCAGAACAGCCAGGGCTGCTATACAGAGAAACTCTATCTTGGAAAAAGAAAAAGAGGGAAGGGGAGGGAGGGGGGAAGAAATGAAGGAAGGAAAACAAAGTACCACACTTATGTTTTCCAAGGTGACTAGCTTGTTTTACATCTAGCCAACAACGTATGAGGGCCCCCCCCCCGTTTCCCCCCATCCCCTCACATAGTTGGCTGCATTTGTCATTGTCTTTCCATATTTAGAGCAAACCAAAAGTATCCTGTTACACATCTGTAAGTACTCAGTGTATCCCTGGAAAATGTAAGGTGCTTTTAAGAATAAAACTCAGAAGCCTCTAGAACAAAAAATTCTTAAGAGCAAATCAAATCAGGTCCAAATTTCTCTGTTCTTAAAAAGCTTCAGACTTTGATTCCATTCCACTTATGACTGTGCATATTCAGTGAACTAAGACTCTACATGTTAATCTTCTGAGGGTAGGCTCTCCTGTTGCCAGTAGACAGTAACCAACATGTGATATATGATATTGTTCTTCTCTAATGGATATGTTTAAAGGTGCTTTTGCTCAGTTTTTGGATCTGATCATTGTTTTGATCAGAGGTGGCAAACTCAGCTACTTTGAGAAGTCAGGTGGGTCCTGTTAGAGAGAGCTGGCTGCTGGAGGACCCTGGGGTGTCCACTAGAGGATGCTTACTCTTCCACCTGTATTAATGTGCCCTAGAGATTCTGCATCTCCCTTCTCCTTTTTCCTTTCCCCTGCCCTCCTCAGGTCAGGGTCTTCTTGTATAGCCCAGTTTGGGCTCAAACTCACCATCCTCCTGCCTCAGGTTCCTGGAATTATGCTGGGATTATGGGCCATTTGCCTGGATAGTATGTCTGTCTATTTTTTAAAGGAGATCCTAGAGGGCTGAAGAGATGGTTCAGCAATTAAAAACACTGGCTGCGCCGGGTGGTGGTGGTGGTGGTGGTGGTGGTGGTGGTGGTGGTGGTGGTGGTGGTGGTGGTGGTGGTGCACGCCTTTAATCCCAGCACTCGGGAGGCAGAGGCAGGCGGATCTCTGTGAGTTCGAGGCCGGGCTGGACTGACAGCCTCCAAAACAATACGGAGAAACCCTGTCTCGTAAAACCAAAAAAAAAAACAAAAAACAAAAAACAAAACACTGGTTGCTCTTCGAGAGGACCTGGGTTTGAGACTAAAGGCGTGTGCCACCACCATCTCATGTGAAAATTAGATTATTTATTTATTTTTTTGTTTGTTTTTCAAGGCAGGGTTTCTCTGTATTGTTTTGGGGGTTGTCCTGGAACTCACTGTAGACCAGGCTGGCCTTGAACTCAGAGATCTGCCTGCCTCTGCCTCCCGAGTGCTGGGATTAAAGGCGTGTGCTACCAATGCCCAGGTTTAGAATTCTTAATGTGAAATTAGTTTACAATGAATTTAGTGATAAAATAGTGACTGGGACTGGGCAGTGCGCCTTTAATCCCAGCACTTGGAGGCAGAGGCAGGTGGATCTCTGTGGGTTAGAGACCAGCCTGGTCTATAGAGCGAGTTACAGGACAGCCTCCAAAGCCACAGAGAAACTCTCTGGAAAAACTGGAAAAAAAAAAATAGTGCCCGGGGATGTAGTTTAAGAGTAAACACTTACCTAGCATGCATAAAGTCCCAAGTTTTGTCCCCAGGATTGCAAAAATCAAACCAAGCCAGTAGCTGGAGGTGTGCTCAGTAGTGTTACATGTGCTTAGCATATCCAAGGCTCTGGTTGGCTGCACTAATCACAGAAGCAAAGAAAGCAGTGCGTTGCCTGTATGCCTTATCTGCATAGGTATGCTAGTATAGTCTGACAGTACCAGCCAGTGAGCTGTTTGAGGTTTTTGAGGAAGCAGCTGGCTAGGTGACCTTCAGCGTCTAAAGTTTAAGATCTACATGCTGAGCTATTATTTCACTTGCTTCATTTATTAATGTGTGTGTATGATGTGTGTGTGTTTTCAGGTATAAATCTTGAGTGTTAGTCCTTGCCTGCCATAGGACCTTTTCACACAAGACAGAGTATCTTGCTCTTCATTGTGTACACCAGCTTAGCTGGTCCATGTCTTCTGAGCTTCTGTCTCTTGCCTTGGGTGAGATGGGTGACAGATGTGTGTTCTGAGTGTTCAAATCCAGTCCTCCGCTTGTGTGGACTTTATCCACAGAGCCATCTCCTCAGCCTGGTTGTTGTTACTATTTGTTGTGTGGTGTGGTCTGTCTGTCTGTCTGTGTCTATATTTACATGGGCATATACGTGCATTTCTGTCTGTGGGTTTGTGTACGTGCATTCATGAGGTAACAAGCCTGTGGTGGTCAGTGGGTAACTTTGGGAGTTGATTCTCTCCTTCCGACATGCTCTACCTGCTGAGTCATCTTAACAGCCTTGGTTGGTTTGTTTTTGCTTTTTCTTTTTGGAGAAAGGCACACATAGCCTAAACGTGCCTCATACTTATTATATAGCCAAGGATGTCTTTGAACTCTCAGTCCTGGCTCTGCTTCCCAGTTATAGGATTCCAAAGACAAGCTGCCCCGTCTGTCTTATTTCCCTTGCACTGAGAGCAGTTCAGTGTGTTGAGATGAAGGGACCACAGACCTGTGTTTGTTTGGATGCCCCCATCCTCTCTGTTAGAATTGGGCTGTCCTCACTTCCCACCCCAGCATGCCTGCTTTCTCTCCCACTTTGCCTTTCTTTGTAACCAGACACCAGACCATGGCTGCTCATTTTCTCAACCTGGGAGTCTGTCATGTCACCAAATTCTGTAGACTGAATAGCTCCCAGTCCTGTCTTCTTGTGTGTCATTACCACAGGACTGATTCCTGTGTGCTACCCATTTGGCTCCTGGACCAGTAATAGTCTTGTAACTGGTGTCCCAGCATTCTTCTCCCTCCTTCCCTCCCTCCCTCCCTCCTTCCCTCCTTCCTTCCCTCCCTCCCTCCCTCCCTCCCTCCCTCCCTCCCTCCCTCCCTCCCTCCCTCCCTCTCTCTCTCTCATGCGCGCTCATGCCTGCTTTTTTAAATTCAAGATAGGTTTCTCGCCGGGCGTTGGTGGCGCACGCCTTTAATCCCAGGACTCTGGAGGCAGAGGCAGGCGGATCTCTGTGAGTTCGAGGCCAGCCTGGTCTACCGAGTGAGTGCCAGGACAGCCTCCAAAACAATACAGAGAAACCCTGTCTTGAAAAAACCAAAAAAAAAAAAGATAGGTTTCTCTAGCTGTCCTGGAAATCGCTTTTTAGACCAGGCTCACCTTGAACTCACAATGATCTGCCTGCCTCTGCCTCTCAAATGCTGGGATTAAAAGTCATGAATGATTTTCCTAAAAAACTGTCTGACTAGATTGATTTTCTTTTTGGGGGGTGGGTGGTTTCAAGACAGGGTTTCTCTGTGAAATAATCCTGGCTTTCCTGGAACTCACAGAGATCCACCTGCCTCTGTTTCCTAAATCCTGGGATCAAAGGTGTGTGCCACCACCATCCATCCCGCTAGAGTGATTTATTTTCTTCCTTCTGTCCATCCATCCTTCCTTTTCCTAGACAGAGTTTCTCTGTGTGGCTTTGAAGCCTGTCCTGGAACTAGCTCTTGTAGACCAGGCTGGTATCGAATTCATAGAGATCCATCTGCCTCTGCCTCCCAAGTGCTGGGATTAAAGATGTGCACCACAGCCACCTGGTACTAGTAGCTAGTTCTTTAACATGTGTGCGGTATGTGTGTGTGTGTGTGTGTGCGCGCGTGCGCACGCACATGTGCGCGTGCACACACAGAGGACAACCTCAAATTTCATTCTCATGAACGGCTACCTCTACCTTCTTTGAGATAAGGACTCCCACTGCCTGGAGCTTACAGATGAGACTTGATTGACTGCAGGAGTCCCCGGGGTCCTTTCTCTGTTTCCCCACCACATCTGACATTTTTACATGGGTACCAGGGACTGAACTCAGGTCCTCACACTTGTTAGTCAAGCACATTACCATGTATGCCTCTTCCCAGCCCTTCTGGTAGTATTTTTTTTAATATCTTTTTTAAAATTC